TTGATTTTAGAGTAAAAATCTCAGAAGATTTTTAGCTCACATTTTTTGGTGGGTTACACTTGGTTTTTCCTGTGTTTCCTGCCTTTCCACCTGTCCTCCTAACACTCTCAGTGGCCTTCAACTCAGGAATGGAGACTGTTATTCATCCTCCAACAACTACGTAATGGAACGGTTGCTTCATTTGTAGCCATTTCACTGAGTTACCCCCTATTTTGGCTTTCACTCCATTATGGTTTGGGTCATGAAACTCTTTTAGTCTAAGAATATAATGTAACTTTGGCCCCAAAAGCTTATTAATAGAAAATCAGTTTTAACTTGTGAATATTAAATACCCAGAATCTATTCATATTATTTAGAAATTTGAGTTAAATTGTGTCTCGTATGTAATGAGGGATTTATTAAAATATAAAAATGTGTTTGCATTGTCTATACTAAGTGAATAGCTAAGTTGCTCAAAAACATGACCAGAGATAACAACACAAATAACCATAAAACTTACAAGTCATAAGACTGGTTGTATGCCTCTATTTTTCTATAAAATGTTATATAACTTGCATTATCCACATATTCTCTTTCATCTTTTTTACTTTTGAATATGCTACCTAAAGTACAGATCATTTATAGTCCCTCATTACTTATTAGTTATAAATCTCAATTAGGAAAAAATGGGAAGCATTTCTGATATTAAAGAAGTCTGAAGACTTCAAAACTGGTGTTGTTGTTTTTTTTTTCTGGTACAAATATAAATTAGACCGCATATTATTATATGTTATTGCAAATATTTTTAATACATGAGGTTTAAGATTAAATGTGTTTTTCCTGTACTTTTCCTACAGCAATACTGTGCTGTTCATCTTTGTCAAATAGAAGTAGATTGTTTGGCTCAATACAATCCAGGCCTATCTGAGCAGTTCTCTGTCATTTTCAGAAATGGGGGAGATTAAGAGTTGAAAAAGCATTCATCATCAGGAGACTTTGTTTTAAAAGCATCCAAGTTCCATACAGCCAGCAGATAAATTACACTCTATTCAAAGAAAGAAAAGTACAATTAGTTTCACATTATACTAAGCCAATCAGCTCTTTAATTGACTGTCATTCTTGGGGAAAAAAAGCAGCAAGAATGTCATAGTTGTCCCTTTCTCTCATGCCTGCAGAAAGAAATGGCAAGCCTTCTCTCCTACTACAAGTTCTATGGAAAACTTGGAGAAAATATTTCTCTAGTGTTTTATGGAAGGAGAATTATATTAATAACTTGTATCCACGCAGTTAATAATACCTACTTCACAGTGCAAAGTTACTGAAGCTTTTGTTTCCTACTAGTTACAGGAGATGCTTGGAAGCTTTATAGCAAAGAACTAATACTTCAACAAATTATTTTCAAATCTAACTTTCTTCTTGCCAGGGTAATTATTTTACGTAACCATTTAAAATGAAGGACTAAAGGAAGGGGTAGGGATAAATCAGTCTAAAGATACGTAATATACACAGAAAAGCTGCAGGCTGGTTTTTTTTTTTTTCTTAGTAAAATGGATAATTACTAAATAACTATTAGTGCTTTTGATACAAATAGGATGGCGTAAGAATATATTAAATTAATGTCACCTGCCATGATTGATACGGAAGAAACCCAGGGATCAGTGAGCCTTACTTATAAGGCCACTACAGCATTCAGGCATCTTCTGTCTGAAGAGAGGGCTTGGAGGGAAGACTGCATTTGCAATCATAAAAGAAAGCCTTATTTGCTTACAACACAAAAGTGTGATCACTCAAAACCTAAAAATTGTAATGCTAAATGTTGGCATGTCAGTATCATTCTATAAGCTACAATTAATTTTATTTATTAAGATACTCATTTCTATGTGTAATGGATCATTTTGGGTGTATGCACACAGGGTATGTGCAAAACTTCCTTTACAGCACACTAAAAATTAGAATGCCAGAAGTTTCCTATGTTGATATCAGATATCAACATCTCCTATGCTGTACCCATGAAAGTTCCTTCCTAATGATAGATAGGTTTTCTTATTGCTTTTGATCAAGAAAACACTATTCAGGGTGTATTTTTTTTGTTTCAGTTGTTCGACTTGTGAAAATTTTAAAATTTCTTATCAGGAGTGTATGAGTAGTAAGTTTTATAAAGTACTTCTAAGTCCTTTAAAAGAGGATTGTCCCAGCTTACTTAACTAAATGCTTTCAAAGAGTAAAAATGGTATTTGTCAATTTCATATGTTTAATGTCATTTTTAAGTACTTCATTTGTCTATTTTTTTTTAAAGATTTATTTATGCATACAAAACTGGAGTTGTGGGCACTCCCTGGTGGAACAAAGGGTAAAGCACAGCACCACAAAGCTAGCCACAGCCATTTCAGCATGAGTTCAATCTCTGGCCAAGGAAGTGAGCCACATGGCATGGCAGACCTCTCCTGACCTGCCCACTTCTCCCCTCAGCAGTATACTTCATCGATCTGCCTGTTCTGTTCCCCACTCTGTCTCTGGTGAATCCTCTCTCTGCCCTTGCATCTTGGGCCTGTACCCCAGTTCTCACATATAATAAATACTTAAATCTTTAAAAATATAAGAACTGCGGTTGCAGGCCAAGGGCGGGGGAGGGGGGTTTGGGTTGAGAGAATTCACCAGAGACAAAGTAGGGCAGAAGAGGCAGATCAGTTGAAACACACTGCTGAGGGGAGCAGTGGACAAGACAGGAGAGGTCTGTTGCGCCATGTAGGTCACCTCCCTGGCCGGGGATCTAGCCCATGTTATAGTGGCCGCCAGTAGTTTCATAGTGCTGCACCTCAACCCCTTTATCACCAGGGAGGTGCCTATTTGTCTGTTTTAATAAATAAATTGGAGAATGAAACAATTCTTAAAGTCTAATAAGTTAAATGTATAAACATGTTAATCTGAAGTTCTCTTAAACCCATTAATATCCTTCAAAAACATAAGATTTCAAATCATGAAGCTGAAATAATATGTCTCAAACCATTTTTTAAATGTATATTCTAAACTCTCATTGCAAGACTGAAAGCTAATGATACCAGAGGGCCAGCATTCTAGGTTCCCTTAGCCAACGCAAAGGAGACAGAGTTTGAAGGGAAGGAAAGAATTTCATTAATTTGTCAACAAATTGAGGAAGGCAGAAGACTAGCATCTGAAAGATCAGCATCCTGCTCTTTGTCAGAGAGCAGGGTTGTTCATCTAGAGTTACAAGAAAGCAGAAAGCAGGAGGAATGAGGGTCAGCATGCTCGTCCTTGAGATAGACACATCTAATGATTGTGGTTGATGTCAGCTTGTTTTCACCATCACCCATGGCGGTAGTTCCGGTATTTTCATGGTAGTAATGCCCTTTTTCCTTGGAATGCAAGTAAACAAGACTTGTTAAGCCTAGAGGAAAAATAAAGAAAATGGGAAGCTAATAGGGTGGGACAGAGAGAGACATATGCTTTGTCGTTGCATCACTAATAGGCTAAACCTCTGAAATAATACCAGTTTTTATCGTAGTAGATTTCTTTCTTCTTAACAAAAATGTAATGTTCTGTTTTATGTTGTTACAAATCTGTTACATTTAATTCTAAATGTCCTAGGATTGTACTCACTGAGGAAAGCAACCTGCCTGTTCACTTAAATTATTGAGGTGTATGTTTCCTTGGGTGTGAAGGAAGAGATAGACCCCTTCAGGTTCACTGTGCTCCTTTCAGCCAGCAACCACGGCCAAGCGTGAGGTCTGGGGAGATTCTTATCATCCCAACTGCCATACTCATTTTTTTTACAATCTTTATTGACACTTCTGTGAAAGGTCAAGTTACCTCACTCTCTAACTACTCATGGGAGTCACAACTATTGAGAAGACTAATCTGTGCTTGCTGTATTTGAATTGCCAGAATGGGCCTCTGGCCAGGAATACTCTTCCAAGAAATGAATGAGCCCTTACAGCCTGTGTTGGTCTTATCTCCTTATGGCAATACTCACTCTTGTTTCAGTCTCAAAGAGTATTGTGTTACTGTACTTACAGGTCTATGCCCTCAGCATTTATTATTTTAAATTCCACAGGGAGAGGTCAGAGTCTACTGCAGTAAGAAAGGGGACAGAGAAGGCCAGACAGGTAGCCAGTAGTGATGAGGCCCAGGTACACTAACAGAATTAAAGCCTTGTTCCCTGTACCCCTTGGCTCTTGTGCTTGACACCTCTGACACCAGTACAAATGGACAGGAATCTCTAAAGTCCTCTTTTAGGATTGGTGGACAGCATTTTACTCCCCCAAGATTGAGAACTGGTACACTGTGTTCTCAACAATTTCCATCCAAATTTATACCTGGATTTGCAAGTCTGATTCTTAAGACAAAAACTTAGATGTTCCAACTACAAAAATCTTGGAAGTTGATCACATAGGCTAATTATATTTTATGCCTAAATATAAAGATAGGATGCTAAAACAAATAAATGCCTTCCCCTATGACTAAAATCTTGCATTACTTGATCTTCATATTTATATTCAACTTAACTCAGTTCTTCAGCCAATTAAATAGTGTCTCACTCTTACCGTGTCTCATTGCCCTTCTTGAATTTAACTTTCTTCTTTTGCAACCTACATCAGAGGCCTATAATGACTTTTTCTCCTGCCTCAATGTAAGGCTTAGGGTTGCACTGCTCAGTCTTTTGTAGGAGAAAAGTATTACAAGGTCACAGCCAATAGTCATGAGCAACTCAAATCTCTGCCTCCCCTGCAACTCAAGTGGTTCCCCTCTGACTTAAACAGGAACTCCAACAGAAAAATAATTGCTGATCTCACATGGTAAATTAGCTGGACAAAAATCATAGCATGCCATAAATATGAATAATTGAGTGTTTATTACCTACAAGATTCTAAGAACCTCAAGTTTTTACAAGTATTTATCCTGTAGATCCTTAGGATTTAATCTTAAAATATAACTTTCTGCTATGCCTGTTATCAACAATGAAATGTAACTCTATATTAATATACTTTTTTTTCTTTTCTCAGTTTCTACAAATAAAGTGATCTAAAGTAATGAATGATGCCATGAAAGCAGAAAAGGGAAACTGTGACAACCTCCAGAAATGTGAAAGAAGGTTTCTTACTGGATAGCAGCATCTTTGGTTCAATTTATATAAAAACCCAAATAAATAAAATGGACAGAATTGTCCAATTTTAGAAATTCCATTTCTTCTATGTTCTAAGCGGTATAATTGTCAAGTTTTTATGGTTTAGATTGTAAATGTGTTTTTCCCTTTGCTGATTATGTTGTGTTTTTTTTTTTTTAGTCTTCAAAGTCTTAAAATGTGAAGGACATTTATGAATGGTAAGGGAGACCACTGTACACAAATGTATATTTGTAAAAGCTATTTTTATGATTAGCATGTTTTACTGTTGATCATATATAAAGTCAGGTGATACTGCAACTCTATGTTTAAACTTTATTTCTGACAATGTCATGTAAGAAAGGATACATCATATGCTAGTTTTATAATTTATTTTTAATTCATAGTTAAAGTTCTTCAAATCATAAGAATAAGATACTTGAAAGGTTATATTTCTGCCCTCTATAAGCACCTTTTTATTAATAAAGAATGCAAATATTTCAGATGTGATTCAGTAATTAAAGTATTGTTGCTTTGACCTATGATTAAATTGAGCATTCTCTGCTCTGCTGAACTGAAATGACCCAATTATTGCCCAAAACTTGCGTCTGAATGGGAGAGCTCACAGACAGTGCCAACACAAGTGAGAACTAGATTGGGGGGGGGAAAGATCACCCTGTCTTTGAACCCAAAAGTTTAAATTAGTGCGTGTGTCCCTTCATTTCATCTCCTATTACTAGGACGTTTCCATGTGCAGGCATTGCAAGTATTTTCCAGATGCTCTTAGCTGTCATCTTGTGCTTGTGGAAATGAAAGAAACCATCTGCACAGACTGTAGGAGAATTCAGCACATAATTTCTTAATAAATACTGTTTCTTTTAAAACAACATTGGTGTATATCTTTCCTTTGGGGTGCACTTCATTTTAATACTCAATATGAACTATCTGTGTTACTGTAATGCCACAAAATCAGTTCAATAATGAAAGTAATAAAATTTTAATAAAGCGTATTATATGTCCTACATGTCCCATATTTTAGAGTCCCTGTATGTTGGAACATATCAATTTACGATATACTCAAAAACCAGATGGCTCTCAATCTTTGACAGCGATTTACATTTCTAGAAGGTTATTTTTCACTCAATATAAAATCCTAAGAAAATATTTCAGGATGGAAAATGAAGCTACCTTGATGGAGATGTATATGCCCTGCCTGACAAAATCTCTGCTTACTAAGTGCAAGTTCCTTGTTAAAAAGATATCATGTCATAGTTTGGGGGGTAGGGAAAGATCGACCTGTCTTTGACAATCCCCTCCAGTTTACAAAAACACTCCTGTAGACTAAAAATTCAGGAATGAGGAGAATTAAACAGTGGAATTGCATTCCCTCTTTAGGATTAACTGTTAATTTACTTCCTTGTGAATCAATGTTAACTGGCTCCAGCTGCATTCCTGGGAGCTTGAAAAATTGATTGTGTTATATCCCTAATAACATTCTCTGTGTTCCTCTGAGATTGATAATGGCATCAGAAACATCTGATTGCTAAAAAGAGCACCCTGCTGAGCAAGCCAAACACCTTGAAGCCAGTCACCTAGACGCCTGCCCCCAGGAAGAGCCTTGCTGGGGGTGGGATGATTGACTAGTCATTAAAACCAGCTATGCCAATTATATTAGGCCTGGAACTCATATATGGGGGGTAAAGAAAACTAAGGATCATGACCGCAAACCGACCTAACCTTAAAATGACATGTTCCACCAAAAAAGGCCACACCTGTCCTTTTAAAAATAGTTTTTGCCCACTTGTGTCTATGCCCAAGTATCTCCTTTTTCTTAATAACCTGCAATATGCCAGTTAAGGTGACACTGGTGAATTCATTCTTGAAGAGAGCAAAAAAATCTTCACTCATCCAAGATCAGTAACCAAGCACACTCAGTACCATGTCCTTTTTGCAAAGCCGAGTATAAATCACCTTGGTGTGTTTTATTTTTCTGTTTTAATATTTTTATGATGTCATTCTTTTCTCTGTCTTAAGAAAAATTTAAATAGTTCTATGTAACAGAAAATGTCAAAATCAAAATTCTAAAGAGAAAATAATGTATAACTATGTTATGAAAAAATACACTAGATTTTCCTACTTAAAATTGAAATTTTCCCACACAAATGTGCTTTCCTTTTTAAGGGAATGCAAGACCACATGTGATACACTGTTTTTGATGATCATAATGAGACTGAAGAATTTGTGACTGCTGTGTTTGGATTTTTATGTTTCTATATAAGAAAACAGCAAGCAGTGTGATTCCTCAGTTGGCTGCGAAACAAATAAATAATTTCTTTGCAATAATCTGATGTTCCAGAAAGAAAATTTTGCAAGCACTGTGATTAGGAAAATACTCATGTGGTTGTTTCTCCCCACTTACCATTTGTCATCTCAGTACTCAGTAAGGAAGGCATTTTTTATCTAACACTAACATAAATTAAGAGCTTCATGCTTTATTCAGACGTCTATCAACTATGCTCAAAATAAGATGAAAACTTAAAATATATTCAATACTTCTTTTTTTTATTGGAATTAAGTTTCTCTACACAGGACTTGTGAAGTATGAAATCCGAGGTCTTTCCCCTTAATTGTTAGCCATTCGTTCAAGGCTTAAAAATTTCTTTTGACCCTCCCTGGTGGCGCAGCGGGTTAAAGCACAGCACTGAGAAACTAAAGCCACCTCCGCATGAGTTCGATTCCCGCCTGCCCCGGAGGCGACCACATGGCGAGGGAGACCTCTCCTGACCCGCCCGCTGCTCCCCTCAGCAGTGTACTTCGTCGATCTGCCTGTTCTGCTCCCCACTCTGTCTCTGGTGAATCCTCTCACCCTCCGCATCTCTGGCCTGTACCCCAGTTCTGTACGAATAAATAAATAAATCTAAAAAATTTCTTTTGATGACCAAAAAACAGAAAAAAAATATACACTAAATCAACAAAGTATGGACTATTTGGGATTACAATCTTGGAGGTTTTAGTATAAAAACTTAAAGGGAAGCTTTAATAAGCAAGGAGAGAGAGATGGTGGGGGGGTTGTCACTGAAATAATCAACAGCTGGGAAGGGAATTTAACGTTTGGTTGATAAAAGAGAAATTTTTAAATGGCTATTCAGACAACACTGAGGATGCCTGCCCAGCCTGGAAACCAGAAGCATAAGATTTCTCTGACTGACTGGTCCCCAGTCTTGGAGTTTTTGACCTTAAATATATTGGTGAGTTACATACACAAAAAGAACTTATTTTAATAAATGAAAGAAGATATGGAGCACATTTCTAAAACTTTCACTTAACAAAAGGAGGTTGGTTTCCAACAAACTTAGTTACTTGGTGAAGAAGAATATCTGTTCCTAACTTCAAAGTGATCCCTTGATTTTATTGAGCTAATTTAATTAGAGCTCTTGAATCTCTTATCCTAGAAGTATATTTACAAATATAAGGCTCGTTAGGTCATCTCATCCTTAGTCTAAAACATGACAACGATACGGTATTAGAACTTCTTCACGTCTTTCTTTGTTTCTTGCTGCAGGGTTTTCACAGTGAAAAAGAATCGCTGTTCTACTGACAGGGCCTGGGAGCAAGGCACCCGCTGTGTGGAGGAACCTGTATATACACACAGCGTAGGGGCATGCAGACACTGTGTGACTAAACATCTGTTTTCTTTGAACCAAAATTCTTGTTTTGCACTGAGAGTCTTACCCCAGTAATGCCTGAAGAAAAGTCGAACATTGGTGCCATCAGAAAATCAGAATGGTTTTCCCTGGCCAGGAAGACAGGATATACCTGAGTCAAAATGTCCAAGGAAGCAACAACACACTCTGGGGGCATGATAAAGACCAGACTGTCATTGTGGGAGGGTCCCTTATGGTTTTCTGTCTTTGTTTAGTTCACTAGAAGAAGGCCAGCTTGCGAGGACATGGCAGAATGGGTTTTTAAGGTAAAATACCCCATTTTCTCAAAACACTGATTTTTCTGTTAATAACGTGCATACTATAGATACAATTTCTGTCTGCTGTGCCAGCAAGGCCCCGGGCAGTTTCTCTTGGATCCGGGCAGACGAGTAAAGGTGCATTCTGGAGCTCTCAGTGGCTTTTTCAGACCTTTCTACACCACTTGTAGTGAGGAAACTTGTAGTGAGGAAACTAGGCACAGTGCAGGCATGAGGGTGGGCACAGGAGCCTAGAAGGCTTCCCAGCTCCCGGTGATTCTTGACTCTAGCATCACATGCTTGCAACCCACCACCCTCCGTCCATCCCACGGTGGTTAGAGGGTTCTATACCAGTCTGTGTCCAGTCATCCTGCCAGCCTAGACTTAGAGGCAGGACAGGCTGCCCGGCTGTAGTGGAGGCATTGCTGCATCGTGCCGCTACGTCACCCTCATGCAAATACAAACTTCAGACATCCTGCTAAAGCCTGGGTTAGGGCAGCAGGACAATATTTTATTGCCAGCCCCAACCGGATTGGACCCAGGACTATGGACTAGGCCTGGCCCCGGGCAGTAAAGTGCCTTGGTAGGCACTGATAGTCCCTTGGGAAGCGGCCTGGACACCGATTTACAAGTAACACCAAGGGTGTCTGGACAACGGCTGCCACAGTGCATGTTATCCGCCCTGGGCTGGCAGGTCGCAGGGCAGTTGTAAGGGGAACCTTTGTGTTGGCTTTGTGGCCTATTCGGAGCTCGCCACTCTTTCGGATGGAGCGTCCTCTGATGCCTTTTCTTGGCAAAGCGTGTAAGATACTCGCCAGTTGCCAGCTACGATATTATCCCTAGACACAAAACTGACATGTATATTGCCAGATGGAAGAGATCTCCCATTGCTAGTGCCAATAACTTATTTCTCTTTTCACCGCTAGGGGAATTGAGCTTAGTTGTATTCTGTTATGTTCAGTTGCATTCTGTTTACTTATTCGAGGTTATGGTTGCAGAGTTCCACATTCCAGAAGGGAAACTGATGTATAGATTGTACTTGAAAACCCTGAGGGGGTGGGTTGGAGGGTAAATGAAGATTGCTCAGGCTTTTACACTTTTGGCTTCTGTGGCTTTCCCCTGTAGCTTGAATGCCGGAGGTGCTTGAGAGCATGAGTTTGGGGTACAAGTGCCTACTGGTGGGTACCTGGAATGTGGTGTGGGCACTGAGCCCAGGGTGAGGGCCTGAGCTGAGAGACTGAGGATATGAGGGTGGCAGACGACCGTGGGCAGAGTGCAGTGGAGTGCAGGAGAGAACAGCTACGCTAAGAAAGAACGTATAGAGGCCCCTCCCTATATTTGAAGAACTATAACTTTTTAAATGTTTGAATTATTAAAAATCTATTTATCATCTGCAGTAATCCATATGCATATTCATACATATAAGCATTAAACTATATCTAAACACTTTAAAGCATATTGTAACTGTTTCATATTTTTTTAAGTCACAATGTCAGCTATAATGACGTAGCTCTATATGACAAAAAATAAAGCGTAACTTCTGTTTCATCCTTGGAAACACTGGATAGTCCACCTTATCAGCAGCTCAGAGAAAAAGAGTGATAATCTACAGTCCAAGACATTTCTTCAAGATATACCTTGAGCATCTATTGGTGACTTGGAGGAAATTTGTTTTTATGACTTTTAGTGGTTGCAATAAATCTGAATATAACAGAAACTGGTAAACCTACTTCTTTCTTACCTACTGAATAATTCTACATTCATCAGTGACTATAATGAAAATCCCTACAATCATCAAACCCACACGGTATTGGGATTGCTCACGGAGATGCACTATATGTGCTTTTACTCTATGGGGTCATCACTTTCCTGATAAATTGGGCACTCTTGGCCAGACTGGAACTTTAGAGGATATTTTTGTTTGGTATCTTTAGAATAATCCATAATACAACTGCTGCTTATAATGATAAAATAGCTAATATATGTGATTGCAAATTAAATTAATATTAAGTTTGTGTTTATCAACTATAAAAATAGCAAATGTTAATGCTGAATAGTACTCAGATTTGGTTAGGTAGCAGTATGAGTTAGACTCTGAAATTCTTATATTTATGCATAAAATATAAGTGGGAATATTAACTGGCAAATTTTCTGGATGTGAATTTATATCTCAGTCTATTTCAAAAGCATTATCAAATTTTATACCCATTCAAATTATAATTTTTACGAATATC